TGTCCCTCCGATTTTAGTAGTTTGTACAAAGCAAGAACACGTATCGCAGTGGAATTTCACCCTGAGAAGGAAATTCCCATTTTAAAGGGCATAGCACAGCAGCCTGCAACAGTAGTGACATTGGCCGCGATGACGGTCAAACTCCGGTCTGAACTAAAGAATTCCTGAAGACACCGGGTCGTTTTGTATTACTATTTTCATCTTTGTGTTAAGCCAGTTCAAGAATGTTTAACGGTAAATTGTGCTGTACGTGTAAATGTCGTTCGCGACTGAATGATGTAAAACTTTCTTAAAGTAATTTTAGTGTTCCTTTATTTATAACTTCTACCATGTGGTTTCCGGAATATTGGAAGTGATTTACTGTTACCTTGTGGTATATGAGTTTTAACAAATCCTAGTTTTCATGCTGAGAGAGCACTACTTGAGAGAGTCGTTGAGAAGTTTCACAAACTTTGACCCAACCCGAAGGAAGGAAGCTGGAGCTGTTTGTTCTTGGGGCCTCGCAGCAACTCCGCGTTACAGCCGTCCCGCCGCCCGGGCGTGCGGCACAGCCCGGGTGGCCGCGGCCGTGGCAGGACCGGGTGAAAGACCACAGACACACTGGTGCTTGGACGAAAAGGTCAGTCAGCCGGTCCCTCTCTCACACAGCTTATTAAGCCCCGAAAGCCAACTTTGTAACATATTTAAAACTGCTATTTTCGCTTATTTCTGGAATGTAAAAAAAAAATGTATAAAAAAGAACTAGTGTATGCTTCCTGAATAAAAAGGAGCTGATGTTGATCAAAATGGCAGCGCGCTTATGTTGGGCAGCAGCCTAGGAGCCACACTTTGGGTTATCAGGAGGCGGGAAGTGGCGTTTGCACAAAATGTTTCAACACCAGAGCACACGTGGGTGAACGTAATGACTTAGCCGAGATGAACAGCTGGTCGGTCGCCCGGCACTTTCCCATGGACCAACACGCCGGCCGCAACCAGACCTCCGGCTGTGTCCTTTTCTGTGATTTTGGTCTTGTAGCTCCGATAAATCAAGTGTCACTATTCAGAGATGAAGAGTAATACCGAGAGTTAAACACGCCAGTGAAATGATAGAATAATTAGGTGGTTCACAGTGTCCGGAAACATTTAGCACCATACTTGACATGTAATTGGCCCACAATAAACCGTAATTTCCTTCCTCCTCTCATGTTTTAGAATGAAAAAGCTGCCCATTGTAGTTAAATCAGTAGTTTAAAAAATAAAAAGGGATTGGCTTTTATACCTGGATCTCTAGGTTTTAGTCATCCACAGCTATTAAAACTGTGTGACACTTGCTTTTTACTAACTCCCTTTCTCTTACAGTGCGTGGCCTTTCCCAATGTTGGTAGGAAGAGAAATGAGGTGTGCACTTTATTTGGGCACTTATTGTTGAACAATGGCAAAGGGAACATAAGCTAAGATTTTTATAGGATTTGTTTTTTAAACCTACAGGGCTCATGCCAACCTGGAGAAGCTGTGGCTCAATTAGCAAGTTAGAAAAGCCAGCCTTAGTTCTCTTGAGTTAAGAGTGGCTTTGCAGATCAAGGGGAGCCAAGGGGGGTGGTGGTGGGGGTGAAAACTCGTTTCTCCCTTTACATTTCTCTTCCCAAAATGGTTGGACAGGGGAAGGGCTGTGGGGAGTAGGGACATAAATCTGGTTTTCTTAGCTAAATTTAACAGAACAATATTAACGTAGTAAGAGTTAGGGCTCCCAAATAATTGGGCCAACTCTACATTTGGTTCTGGGTTTGAGGGTCCAGATTTGCTGACTTTTTTTTTTTTAAGATTTTGTTTGACAGGGATCACAAGTAGGCAGAGAGGCAGGCGGAGGGAGAGGAGGAAACAGGCTCCCGGCCAAGCAGAGAGTCCAATGTGGGGCTTGATCCCAGAACCCTGGAATCATGACCTGAGCCAAAGGCAGAGGCTTTAACCCACTGGGCCACCCAGGCGCCCTTGTTGACTTCTTAGATCAGCTTTGGTATTGATGTGGAATTAGGTTGAAGTCACTTAACTCTGCTTGACAATAAAATACATTGAGAATGAGCTGCTGACAACCTTGCTGTCCTGTTTTGTCCCCATTCTGTTCCCCATTCTCTTGGCTCCTCTATTTTCCTTTCCTTCTAAAGAGCAGTCATTTGTAACTCAGTAACTTTGCTGTAAAACCACAGATAAATGAACTGTTTCAAGTTTTATTTGAACTAAATAAGTTATACCGAAGAAGTAACTCTTTCAGTTACATATATAGCCTCGAGTCTCACAGATCTACTTTTTAGATTTTTTTTTTCCTCTCCTTTGATTGCAAAATGAATGGGAATTTCATGCATTCTTTTGGGAAACTTTTTTTTTTTTTAAGTAGGATACAGTGCATTGACTTTGCTGAGTAAGCCCGGAAGCTGGAGATGGGTCTTAAATAAAGGACTTTTGATTATAACTTGATTACAGTCCTCATGGTTCTCTCTCATGCCACCTTCTCCATATCAGAAGGGGCAGAATTGAAGACTCAGGTTCCAGTCAGACTGCCATTTGTAAGGGGACCTTACAAATCTGTTTTAACCTTACTGTTCTAATTATATGCGGGCAGCCTGTGGCATTTGTTAAAACAAACAAAACATTGTAAAGGAAAAAAGGCAAATTAGCATTAAATGTTTGGTTTGTGTAGTGCCTTTGACCGTGGACATGATGCTTTTAGAGATCAGCTATTGTAAAGGATACGTGGATAATCCAATGGAAAAGATGGTGTTTCTCAGGAGGTGTGTAAAAAGCAAAAATTAAATCTGCCCGTTATGGATCTCACCTTAATTTTTTAAAGTGTGACTAATAGTGTCACTATTTAAGGTACCCAGCCACAGTAGGATGAAAAAGTTAAGGTAAAACTAATCTACCAAATAAAGACCAATTTAATGTGGTTCTACTCTGAAGCAGAAATGGACTTAAGGGAAAGTGTGAAGCACATTTAAGGTTGATGCTCCTAGGTGGGGTCAACCAGTACATGCATTGAACGAACTCTGCTGCACTGGGGTTCCTTTAGGGGCCATGTCTTAAAGGATGACTATAGTACCTACCTCATGAAGAATGCACAGAGGGAGAGGGAGAAGCAGACTCCCCACTGAGCAGAGAGCCTGATGTGGGGCTCCATCCCAGGAACTGGAGATCATGACCTGAGCTCCCCAGGTGCCCCATATAAAGACTTAGTTTAATTTCATTTAGCCCCCTACCCCAGACAAGAGGCAAGCGTTTCTACAGTCACTGTTCCTGGCTCTTTAAAATGAAACCAGTTCTTCCCCAGAAGAAAGCAATTTTGTTAAAACAAGATTGAGGATACCTGTACTCCCAAACTGGGGAGTTAAAATGCCATTTTATAATAGTTTGGTACTATTTGCTTTTAAGCTAGGGCTTCTTAAAAAAATTTTTTTAAAGATATTATTTGACAGAGATCACAAGTAGAGAGAGATGGGGGAGAAGCAGGATCCCTGCTGAGCAGAGAGCCTGACGCAGGACTCGATCCCAGGACCCTGAGATCATGACCCAAGCTGAAGGCAGAGGCTCAACCCACTGAGCCACCCAGGCAGCCCAAGCTAGGGCTTTTAAAGAGGTGGAATGTCAGGATCAACAAGGCAGATCTTGGTCCCTGGGGGCACTGGTAAATACCCAGGTTTGTCTATCACCCCCCTTCCCAACACACGCTTGATTGACCATACTATGTGCTGAGGGAACTCTGTTCTATTTAACAGTTTTACATTCTTGTCAAAACGTTAAAAAAAGAAAGAAGGTCCCCTCCAACAGTACCGACTCTTTTTCCTCTCCCAGCGTATTTTTCTTTTACCATGTTTATTTCAAGGGGGAAAGTGAGTAGATATGAGATTCCAGTAAGTTAATACTAAAAGTTCATAGTGAGCTAAAATATAATTATACCTTGACTACAAAATTTTAAGGTTATTTTTATTTACAAGTTTTGAAAAATGTACATTTTTTACATGGGTTACTTGTGCAAAAGTTAGATTTAGAAGAGTGACAAATGCACAAAAGGTGACAATGGAACATTAGACAAAACATGTACAAGCTTTGTCCCACACTGCTACTTAAAGGTACTGTCTATCTAAAGTATAAATAGCCAAAGAAAGATCACAAACGTGACTTCGAGGTTCTTATAAAACTGAAAGGGAAGACGAAACTAAAGCATGCAGCATTAACTCAGGATTTGAGTGGAAAATGGTTTGCCATAGATATGCTCCCTTCCTTGGGTTAATTAAAACTCTAAAAAAATGATGGGGGATTACAAGTTTATCTAGGGTGGCACTTGCTCCCTTAAAGATTAAAGGATCTCCCACCTTCCCTAGCTTAAAAATGAATGATTATTTCCATTCCTCTGCTCCCACACCTCTTTAAAAAGCAAAAACCCCGAAGACTTCAGTATTCTGAAACTTAGCATGGGTGAGCCCAGGGAGTATCCTTCAAGGAGAGGGTGTGTCAGTTACAATTATTGCCGCGTTCCTTTGGCTGAGTCCTTTGACTTTTCCCTTGGTACCAGTGGAAAAAAAAAACCGTCTTGTAATTCATTTTGGCTTGATCTTAGTATTATAGCATTTTCAGCCCCCATTGCTCTTTCAGAACGGGTGTTTATGTGGATTTGTTCCCATTTTTCCGAGGCCGTATTCCAAACTTTCACTTCTAAATCCAACGCAAGTGAAGGACCAGCCAGGATGAAACGCTTTAGCAATCCTTTTGTTAAAAATAACATCCCGGCCATCAAGCTATGCATAAGCACCACTTGTACAACAATTCACTTTAAAAGCTTGGTGTAGAGTACAGTAACACAATACCACCCTAAAGCTGGAGATGAGACGACAGAAGAGGGATGAAGCATTAGTAATTTCCGCACGTAACCCAGGTACAGTACATTTGATCTCGTAGAGGGTGTTTTCTGATGTTCAAGGAGAGGGGAGAAGGGGTAGGAAGAGCTCGGCAAGGGAAGATGGAAACAGCACGACAGCTATTTTGCTTTTAATAAAGTAATGTAATGACACTGAGGAATAGGAAGGTGACAAACACATCAATATATATTTTTCTTATGACCAGCCTCTTCTTTTGCTGCACCCGGGTCAACAGTCACGCCAGCTCTGTTCTACTATTGCAGAAACACGTTTCTCATATTCCCGCTTGTTCTCCTGGTACAGCTGAGCAGCCTGGCTATTTGCTGGACTATTGGGATTGGGTTCATCCAATAGGGACTATAGAGACAATTTGTAAAAGGTCAGTTCCTCAATGCAAAAAAAATATATATATATATCTATATCATTCAACTGAATTGTCCTCAGTAACAACTAAAAGTTGATCTCTTAGCATACTCATCAAAGTAACATTAATCTGCTAGAAGCTAGGCAAATACATGTTTTCTGGGGGCGAGGGTCTTAATGACCTGCCTTTCACCTTAAGTTAGGACTTTCAGAAACAATTCAAATGCTAATAAAACATATCAAAGGCCACAGTTAGTCACATCAAGGAAAATTCACCTGTATGGATGTTAAAATGGAAGACACATCATAGGTTGGACTCCAGCGGTTCTGAAGTATGTCCAGACATATACTACCATCTGCATAGACTAAGAGCACAGCGGAGGTATGTTAAATGTAGTAAAACCATTCCCATTTTTAACAACACAGTCAAAACAAACATAGTCAAGAATACTTTGTGAGGTTTAAAAAGATTCCCAAACTGCTTCTCCATTATCTTCCTAAGAAGCGTCCTAATCATTTCTAGTGAAATAATCAAAGAATGTCAACTATAATTGATATAAAACTAGAAGCTATTTAGTGCTCTTTCTTCTGAAAAGACTGCTCTATTAACCAGGAAATCATACACATTTTCCAACAGGGTCCCCAGCCATCCAGACAAGTGGGAAATTTATTCCACGAAATTTGCAAACTCTGTTTATCTGAAATAACAAAAGATAGCTCAGAGTTCACAAGGTCTCATTTCGGCATGAAGATAAAAATATCTGATATCCCAGAAAATACTTTATTAACCTGAATAAAAAAGCAAGCTGTTCCAGGCTTACTACTAGCCAAAAAAGCAGAATGTACATCAGAATCACCCATGCTGCTTTTCCAAAACATGGGAGCCCTCAGCCACAGAATCTCTTATTCAGTAGGTCTGGAGCGGGGCCAGGGAATCTCTATTTTTAAAGTGTTCCACAGCAATTTTGATCTGCATCTAAAGTTGAAAACTATTGTTTTGAATAAACAGTTCTAGATGTTGTGAAAATAGTCACAACACAAGACTACCCCAATCCAACATCAAAAGGGAACATCAAGAGCGTCCTTATTTTGGGGTAATAAGTAAATGATAAAGACCATCAAAACCAGGAGGCTCGCAGACACCAAGCCAAGGCAGAGTACCTTCACTGCTCCCGTTCTAGGACTAGAGATCAGGACCGCAACGGACCATCATGAACAAGCTGTTTTCAGGAAACGGCAAGAGGCCTAAACACACACTCAGGTACTAGGGACAAACACCTAAGAAACGTGGAGCACCACCCGTAATTTACCATGTAGTTTAAAACAGTGCATTAACAGGGCACCTGGGTGGTTCAGTGAGTTAAAGCCTCTGCCTTCGGCTAAGGTCGTGATCCCGGGGTCCTGGGATCGAGCCCCCGCATCGGGCTCTCTGCTCAGCAGGGAGCCTGCTTCCTCCTCTCTCTCTCTTCCTGCCTCTCTGCCTACTTGTAATCTCTGTCTGTCAAATAAATAAATAAAATCTTAAAAAAACCCAGTGCATTAAAAGTGATACTTGCCATTTGGATGAAACATCTTAGAGACAAATCTAACCGTAGGTGGCTTATTTGGATATTCTTCGGTGAATTCTATTGTAAGCTTAAATGTTCCTGTAGTTAGAAAGAAAGGTTTAAGAAACAGATTTATTGCTTTGTTCAGTGGTACTTTCTTTTTAATGCTACATGACATTTTTTCCAGTACTAAATGAAATAATGCAGATATAGGGTAGAGAGGAAAGAAAGGCCAGGTAAGAGACAAGGTAAGATCTCTGGGAACTGCTCTAAAAATAGACAGATAGTGTTAAGAACCACCACCCAAAGGGGATTTGTTTTTTTGTTTTGCCATCATTCTCCCCCAAACTTAAAAATACAGTCGTCTTAAACTCAAAAGTACTGCCTACAGGATAACTTTAGCAACTGACCATTTTGAAGATATCCTTAAAATCGCAAGAAACTATAGAGCCTAAATTTGGCGCTCTTGCCTCAGAAGACTGAGACCTCAAAGGCCTATTTTAACCAGCCACCATCTTAAATTCTCCAGTGATTCTGACATGGGCTAGAGAGAACAAGAGTACACAGGTTCCAATATCAATGCTAGAAATACAAATCGATAACCAAATTATCTTTAAAAATGGAAGGGAATAACTATAAAAGTGTTCACTGGCTCCTTTTCATATAATAGCAACTCTATAATGAAAACATAATTGAATGTAAGCCAGAAAAAAACGTTATAGTCTCTCTCAAAAATCCTTAAGTATGACTCACAAGGTACTTCACTATAAAATCAACTCAATTATTCACACTAGTGGAGGGAATTAATGCAGAAATAATTTAAAAATCACATCAGATTGCATTCATGTCTCCAGCAAATTTATCTTTCTCATGATGTTTGTTTAGGCTACTATTGAAATGAATTCATTTTCTCTGAATATGTGTCACCTCAGGTAGCAGGAGGCCCTGACGTATACTAGGTTATAGACTTATTTATAAGGAATGAACAAAATGGATCTCATTCAAGAATTGCAGGATGTTCTGATTTAGGGAGACTGTTTCCTTCAAAATATTTTTTAAATTGGGTTTAACAAATCCAAGAAAACAACTGGGCAATTGTTTTTTGCTGACTGAAATCTCTTCAGGTAAACTTAAGGAATCACTGTATGGTATAAGGTAATGAATGTTCCACTGTATTACTCTGGTCCGTTTATAAATTTATTCTAATACTACAGACCACACTTCAAGTCGAGCATACTTTGTTAGTGGTTCCTTCAGAGTAGGCAATTTCCTCCTTCCACCAATAGGTTTATCACCACAAAAGATAAAAAGACTACACTCAATTGCTAGATCCCTTACATAACAATGCCAAAGTTTGTCTCCTACCAGTAAACTCACAGAAAACAATCTGCTAACAGAGTTGTCCCAAGTACGATGAACCTTTGTTCCAAAGTTTCAGAATAATTTAGAGTGCAACACAGAGACATATTCCCCAAACTACTGTTACTCCCTAAACTGTGTGAAAGCCAGATCTGAAGATATCGTATATTAACACTAAGGGCAAAAAGTGAAATATTTTGGAATGGAGAAACATACTGTAGTCTATGACAACCTACTTTACCTTATTACCACCTGGTCATAAATCTTCCTACTTTTGAGGAAGAGACATTGGTTCTTCCTTTTCAGTACCACTGATATTATAATACGCAGGAAAAAGTGCGAATGAGTGTTAACTTTGAGCTTCCTTATGCATCTCAAGTATAAACACATTTGGCTCAATGTTGAAATCTGATTAAATTATAGGTAAGAGATTTCTCATCATGTATTGCTCTAAAAGTGGACAGATTTAATAGCACACAGGTACTAGGTCCCAGGTACTTTAAATTAAGACTATCATTAAATATGATGTCCAAGAGCAGTAAAGCAATACAAGACAGGCCTAAGTGGAAACGGTAGAGCATAGCAGGGAAGAGGGCAGCCTTGCAGTCAGACCTAGTTATGAGACCTTGAGGAAGCCACCTAACCTGACTGAACTTCAAGTTCCTCATCTGTAAAATGGGGTTAATGATAATACCTACCACATTACATTGTGAGGTTTAAATGAGTGACATGTGCACAGTGACACAAAGTTAGCACTCTACAGGGGCGCCTGGGTGGCTCAGTCGCTGGGCGTCTGCCTTTGGCTCAGGTCATGATCCCTGGGTCCTGGAATCGAGCCCCACATCGGGATCCCTGCTCGGCGGGAAGCCTGCTTTCTCCCTCTCCCACTGCCCCTGCCTGTGTTCCCTCTCTGTGTCTCTTTTTTGTCAAATAAATAAAATCTTTTAAAAAAAAAGTGTTCCATAAATATGGTAGCTATAATAATTCCAACATTTCACATCCCTAGACCCAACTGAAGGAGGCAAAGACCAAACATCCCAACTTGACTATCAGTAAGAAATATACAATTAATGAGTTTAAATATTAAATATCACTTTCTTTCTGACCTACATGAAATGCTCACAGCTGAATTCAAGTTGAGTATGTAGGCTGGTGGCTCTCGAAACCCTTGACTTGAACTTTCTACCTAATACTTGCCCAGAAGTTTAACACTAGCTACCAAATAAGTTAATCAAGTCTTTTCAAACAGCTCGCTTACTATCTTGAGAAGCGAAACAACCTGCTTATGTCTACCTGAATATAAATTAGGAACTTACCCCAAATCTTATTGCAAATACGTATTTAAAAGGGAACAGTTCATACTTTTAGCCACATTATACTACTGGAACCTTTTTAATACAAGCCTCAATGCAATTTCTGAGATCCAAAACAAACGTTAAGGAAATTTAAAGTCTTAGAATATTATGCAATTGAGAATAGTGCTTATCCTCTGGATATTTAGAAGGTTAGGCTTTAAAATAACAGAAGAGGGGCGCCTGGATGGCTCAGTGGGTTAAAGCCTCTGCCTTTGGCTCAGGTCATGATCCCAGGGTCCTGGGATCGAGCCCCACATCAGGCTCTCTGCTCAGCAGGGAACCTGCTTCCTCCTCTCTCTCTCTGCCTGTCTCGCTGCCTACCTGTGATCTCTGTCAAATAAATAAATAAAATCTTTAAAAAAAATAAAAAAATAAAATAAAATAACGGAAGACTTAAGCCTCGCCATTGTACATACAATCTGTACTGCTTTTGTTCATCTTCCTGAGGAGGCCGAAACATCATAAGGAAAGTATCAATTAATCCATCTAAACAAGGGACTGGGAAAAGTACATGTGTTCAATGGCAACGGTATGGCGATAGGGAGCGATATGGTTGGATCAGAGAGTGTATGTTCTGCTAAAGACATTCACAAATTCAAATTTTTGAAAATACTGTGTCAGCCAAAGAAAACATCTGTGTGTTTTCTGCCATTTGGCCACCAGCTTGTGACCCCGGAGGAGAAAACAAAGTATGTGCACCTAAACAAAATTTCTTTGATGAATGGAAATTCTGGTTTTTTAGATAATAACCCAAATACTCGTCATAGAATGTATTTACCTTAAGAACACCCCCAGTGGTTTTTAAGTAATTTTTAAAAGACTTACAACCAAACTCTTACAAAAAGCAAATACTAGTATCGTACTGTGTGTATTGACAATTTTTAGATGATGTGATGGAGAATACTTTATTCCATAGTCTTTGTATTCAGCATACATGCCAAGATATTTTGATGAGGAAGCATTGCCCCCCAGTGTTTTGTGTAGTAGTGTAAGTTCTTGAGAACATTTTCCTCTTACTTTATGTGTGTAAAGTTAAATCAAAATGCCCTCAAGAGTTCCTTTTCTCAAGTCTTCATCTCTTTAACTGGGGCCTGGCTGTTCCAGAAATGTCCACCACAAATGATTTACAAGGAAACAGCAAAAGTAGTTTTGGAGCTGTTGATTGAGGTAATATATTGGAAATAGCAGAATCAATTACGCCACTTGTTCCTAGTCAATCTTTTCTAGTAAATTCCCTAACTGTAAATAAAGGGTATTAAAAAATGGTCAAACTTTTTTGGGGAGCCACAGCCTATGTTCTAGACACCTGAGGAAGCATCCATGGACAGCAGACTGTTCAAGAGAATGAATCAGAGAAGGGTATTATCATTTAGCTTGAGTAGTTCCTTTCAGCAATGCCGGTATGAAGACACGCATCATCAAAAATAGAACCAGTGATGTCAACGGGGAAGATTCAGGTAGATAATGGATTCCTTAAGTACCTTCTCAATTCATACCACTTAAAATGAGTGAAGCACCCTTGAAATATTTAAGTAGCCAATCCTCCAGCAAAGCAATGCAGTCTTAATAAAGCTGTGCCCGGCATAAAGCTGTCTAAGTGAAGTCGGGAGGAAAAGAAGAAGCCAATGAAAATAAAGCCTGCCAGAGCTAAAGCAAATACACAGTTAATCTGCACACAATGCTTCGGCATAAAGAACTAGCACCGATCTAGGAGAGGGAAATGAAGTCGAGCTAGCTCTTGCCACGGATCAGTTCAAATGATTTACTGCACCAAAGTGGTATGCCTTTAGCATCACTCCTTGCTGCACTCCTTTCTTTTTATTGCAGCACTGAAGAGCAGTGACATTTACCCAGGGGGTGGAGACAGGGAGGAAGCTGAAAGTATTCAGGTGACTGTCCACAGTCTCCTAGGGAAATCTGAGTATTTGAGACAAATTGGAGAGTTGGCTGACACTGCCCTCCCTCACTGCAACTTGCAGACCGGTAACAGCAGAAAGCAATCCGACTCGGCAATATAGGTATATACTTAGTACTTTGCAGAAGTGTTTTTGTTCCCCCCTCCAAACTGAGTTCTATGTATGTGTGTGTTTGTGTGTGTGCAGGTGTGTGCATGTGTGTGTGTGTGTGTATCAAACATTAAGTGAGTAAAGAAAGATGGTCATTGAAAAAAGTAACAAAGATGCTTTTCTTTTTCAAATACCTCAAATATTAAAGATGTCGATCAGTAGTTCAAATACTTTTAATTGTGTTTTAAATGTATTAAGCGTTCCAAAAACAACTATACACACATGCACACAACTGAACGCACATAAAACTATATCAATGTCAATTTCCTGGTTGTGATATTGTAGTACAGTCATTCAAGATGTTACCAAAGGGGTGGGGGAATGGGTGAAAAGTATACAAGGTGTCTCTGTATTATTACTATTAATTATAACCACACACAAATCTGTAATTGTCTCAAAATAGAAAGTTTAAAAAAAAATTTAAAAGCAAGTAACGTGTTTTTAAAAGTCAAGCTTAAATCCATTAAAAGTCCTGTACCTATAGGTACACATACTACCTTCGAGTAGGCTGGAACTTGTCAAGACAGTACATTAAGGTTCTCAATTCTGAAGCTGCTTTGAGAATACTGACCATAAAGTCTTGATAAAAGCACACCGAAAACTCATTTAAAAATAAGAAACAATGTTATAGTCAAGCTGGCCATTAAAGGTGCCTTTAAAGACCATCTTAGAGCCATGAGACTGATAGGCATTCAACACCATATTGTAGAAACCAGATAGTTCTATGCAAGCGACTCTCTCGCACCCATTCAACTACTAACAGATACATGTTAAGCACCTGCTGAATACAGTTCCTGCCCCTGCGGTAGAATTCTCAACTAGGTGGTCTCTAGGATCTCGGAGTCTATCAAAAAGTGGTTGGGTTGGTACTAAGTCAGTAACTTGACAGGGTGCTGAACCGAGCAGGATCACAGCCCAAACCTCAAGAATCCTTAACATCAGTGCTATGACGCTCCTTCTAAAAAGTGATCGCCTTACCCATTTTCTCTTTTTTAAAGAAGCAAGCAAGAAAAAAGGTGCAGTTCTAGTCAAGCGGACAATGGCCAGAACCACCTGCCACATATGGGAGTCCACTGAAGCCTGTAGCAGGCAGAGGCTAGGGAGAAGCGGATTCTTAAGTAGGAGGCACTTCCAGGATGACTGGGAACCCTCTCCCCCAGATGCTCAGGCTCCTGAAAGGTGGGTAAAGAAACTCTCTTACCATCCTCAAATGGGGTCCCTTCAGGCCTGCAACACAGAGAGAGAGAGAGACACACACACAGTCAGTTCCCGCTTCAGGGGCTCCCCTCTCCCTTAAGGGGTTCACCTTAAGACACATGGCTATTCCCAGCTCTGCCAACTCTACCTCTGCTAAACCACCGCTTCCTGGGTCCGAGAGCCAGTACACATGGGTGTCTGGGGCTCCGAACGCCGGCGCAGGTCGCCTCGCCTAACCGCCACCACTCCCCGCTCCGCCCCCCTCAGAACCCCAAATGGTTCCCCTGGCAGCGGGAACCGAGCTAATCGAGGCACAGGCTCCGGGGAGGCGCCTAGGCCCAGGCGGACCCAAACATTCCCCCTTTGCCTTTCCGTCCCCGCCGGGGGGCCGGTCCCCGACGGCAGGCCGGGCCAGCTCCAGTACCCCCCCCCCAACCTCCCGCCACCTCCCCGTAACGCAGACTCACCCGAAAATGACCGCGTTCCAAACCATTATGTTGTTCTCGGACGGAGCCCCGCTGACTCCCGCCGGAGGATCCTCCTGCAACCTTCAGGGGAAGAGACAGGGGCCCCGCGGTTCGGCACCCGCGTCCGCTCCGGGCCGCCCCCCGCCGCCCCCGGCCCGCCCCGGGACCCGCCCTGAGCCCCGCCTGGCAGCTCCCCCCTCCCCGCCCGCCCCGGCCTCGGCGGTCCCCGTCGCTTTACCTCTTGAAGTCCCTCATGAGGCGGCGCCGAGCCGGGGTGGACATATCTCTAGCAGAGTCAGGGGTGGGGCATACACCGAGGTCTCGGGTCCCGGCGGACGCTGAGGAGGCCGAGGAAGCTGAAGGAGCCGAAGCGGACGCCGAGGGAGCGCCCAGAGGAACAGCACTGCCCCTCCGAAGTCGAGGGTCGGTCTGGCGCCGACTAAGCACCACCCCGGAGTAGACGGGGGCTGAACCAACCTGGAAGGAGAGGGGGGGAGTGGAACGCCGAACGCCGTACGCCGGACAGGCCGTACCAAGACAGGGCGGGGGGGGGGCGGCCGGGAAAGTTGCTTAGGTCATTAAACCCCAGAGGGAGGCGGGGAGCGCGGGGCCCGTGCGGGACTGAGAGGCGCGCGGCCCACCAGGCGGAAGCCTGTAATTCACTAGGAATTAGTGCGGGAATAGGGTCCATCTCCACCTGCCCAGGCTAAGACGAACCCTGGGAGGCTTCTTCCTATTTTCTTTTTCTATCCTTTTTTTTTTTTTTTACTTTTTTTTTTTTTTTAAATCAGATCACTTATGACAGTGCGCACCGTAGCTGGGGACGGCGGGCGGGGGGTACGGGGTGGTGGGGGTGAGAAGAAGGATGGGAGTCCCTAAGTAGAAGGGAGGAGGAGACCGTGGCTGGAGGCACATCTGGTTCTCGGGAAGCGGGAACTCTAGGGACCCGGGAGGCTCGGGAGGAGAGTGTGTGACTGGTTCAAATCACTGAAAATCAAAAGAATAAATCGGCCTTGGCTACGACAAGGAGCTTGTGGGTCCCTCGTCTGTGAGATGAGAGTGCGGGATTCTGGTCCCAATGTTAGGCCAGTGATCACCCCCAAGCAGGATAAAATGGTGGTGTGTGTCCTGGGGGAGGGAATGAGAACTTAAGGCAAGCACAATGAGGTTTGAGCTCTGGGCACTCACAATTTGGCTCTGGAACCACATTTCCCCTTGGCAGTTCAACAAGCCAAGCGGCTACTATATATTCAGAAGAGTCCAAGGTATGAGAATATCCGACTGCGGAGAATTGGAAGGGCAGAGAGTCTGAAGCAAAAGTAACGGTAAGACGCACGGGAAAAAGCAGCAGGTTGCAGAGTCACAGTTAGTATGTGGACCTGCAAAAGCAATAACAGTTTTAAAGAATAATTTGTAAAGGTCAACCCCAAATAACTTAGAAGGTAGACAAAACACTCATTTTAAGAATTTTTGGAAATATGAGAAAGGTAAGTTTGGGTTAAGTCATGGAGAGGTGGAATGTCAAGCTAACGGATTCCTTGGAAGGTGGTGGATAGTTAGAGCCCTGCTAGTCAGAGATGGGTCCCAGGACAGCAGCTAGGAGACACTTGGAGTAGTCTAGGTGAGAAACATTGAACTAGGCAGTGACAACAAAAATGGAGAGGACTTGGCAACAGATTGAACTTGGAGGCAAGAGAGAGGAAGGAGTCAACAATAGCTGGAGTTCTAAGCCTGAGATAATGAGGGCTTTGAAGGTGCCATGAACAGAATTCGGGAACAGAGTGGAGAAGGGGGTGCTTTGGGGATAGGAAGTTTGGGAGCTTACTGAGTGCACGGGACTGTTGAGACATCTGAGCAAAGATGTCCATAAGATATCAGATTTGCTTAAATTTGTTTCTAAGGTGGGAGGTAGGAGACATTTGACAATGGGGGTAATTCTAGCTGCTGCTTAACAGCAGGTACTTTCATGGGCAAGGATTTTGGCTCCCATTGACTCCAACATATCCGGGGTTAAGGCAAGTCTCCCTAATAGCATCACATTGTCACTGTAGTGGGCAGGGGTACAAAAGTAAGTTTAAAATCTCCTTTTCCTTTCATCCAGTAACTGGCAGTCTGCTAATACACACATGCAATCTACAAAAGCAAGTGCCTTTGTTTGCCATTGCTACTTAAGGAATGACCACAAGCTATAGGCCAGGTTCAGTGCCTTGCAGTTCTAAGGACTGAACCACCTCCTCCCCGCCATTTGCTCACTGGCTGCCAGCCAGGGGCCATTCTCAGGTCCTAGAGGTCGTCCACATTCCTTGCCACATGGCCTGCTCCACTTTTAAGCCAGCAACAGAGAACTTCTCCCCCATGAAATCCTCCTCACACTTGGAATCTTTCTTCAGGAAAACCCCAGTTCACTTTAAGGGCTTATCTGATGAGGTCAGGCCCACCCTGGGTAACCCCCCCCCCAATATCATCTGATCTGGGCCCTTAATCACATCTGCAAAACTCTCTCACAGCAGAACCTAGATGAGTGTTTGAGTGAATAATTGGGAGAAGGTGTGTGTACATCCATGGCCAGGGATCTTCAGCTTCTCCCTCCCAGCGCAGCGGCAAGAAATGTAGCAGAGGTGTGTGAATCTATAAAGGCCGAGAGGCCGCACAGCAGAGGAAACCCTCCGTCTGGTGAGGGTTAGAACAAGCTTCCTGGAATGGGTCTGTTTCAGTTTTGTTTTAACAGAAGTGACGGCAGGGAGCGACATCCCCTGGAGAGAAGTCAAGCAGTTTCTACGAGGGCCACAGCGTGAAGGAGCACGTGCTAAAGGGGGATGATGAGACCCCTGCTTGGAAAAGTGAGGGGGACAGAAGCTGGTTAGATGCCCTCAAATGCAAGGATGAGGAGGGCTTTAGGCTCGAAAAGCAGCTTTTGGAGGTTTTCCAGGTCTAGCTCACATAGGGGCTGAGGAGCTGCATCTACCATCCTGGAGAGCCGGGAAGGGGCTGGGACGGGAAGCTCCTGCCGCTGGACAAATGTGTCCGAGACTCACTGAAGGCCAGAGATGTAGCTGAGTTTGTGGTGGGTTTGTTGATTTTCTGAAATTCCTTTGCCCTAGCTCATGAGGCTCTCTCTGACTGTCTAATCCAGAAACCTCGAGGACACGAACCACAGCAGTTTGGAAGCCCCGTGGCACCAGGGGATGGGGAGAGCTTGCCCTTGACTGCACAGTGGAGTCACATGGCAGAAACACTGTGCCGCCACATTCCTCACCAGAAGCAGTGTTGTCACAGCGAGCGGCAAGACAGAAGACTGTCCTCTAGCAGATGATTATCAGGCCAGAACATGATCAGGCCAAGCATTCTTTCCATCCCCTTTTCACCTTGACGTCTTGGAGAAATACCCTGTGCCCAGCCAAGCACCACGCCCCTCCCCAAAAGCAGGGGTCCAGAATAGAAGCCCTTTTCAGTGAAAAGAAAAGCATATTAGCAATGCAGCTGCCGGAGAGATAAAAAGTTCCAAACCATCCCCAGGGAAGGACTTTAGAATTTTCCTAAAAGTGAGGACCGTAGTGTCGGGGAAGAATTCATGACTAGGGGAACTGTGGGATTTCATTCATGAGGCTTTCAAAACGCAGACTGGATTGTGATTTTCCAGAACTATTTTGGGTCGGGGAGAGAGAGAGAGACTGAATAAACTATCATTTCCTGCCTTATGAGGCTGTGAGTTTGTATTTCTGTTAGCCAGAGAAGGCAAGGAATTTTATTTTCCTCTGGTTCCCATTTCTACCACTAACAGTACAAATGGCAACCAAGAAACAACAGAGTATAAAACCACAAGGTCTTTCTTGACTCCAGTAGCCTCAGAAGACAAGCCAAGAGAATTGCTCATAGGAAACAACAGTTGTCACAATGTGTATTCTTGGCGGTAACAGTAGTGGTCTGTTTTCCATCTATAGACTCTAGGCTATACGGAGAGAAAGAGGGAGAGAGATGTAGTGGAGTTTAGATAAGTGGGGGAACATTAGGGCAGTGAACATAGACTTCACTACCTGCTAAGTTGCAGAATCAAGAACAAAGCCGTGGCAGGTGGACTGAATCACGCAGGTGCACCTTCCCCAGGATCTTCTTGTCCTCATCTCTGGAATTTGTGCATATATTGCCTTAAACGGTAAAAGGGACTTCACCGATGTAGTTAAATAAAGAATCTCGATATGGGGAGATTATCCAGGATAAAACCAGTGGGCCTGATGTAATCACATGAGTCCTTAGGAGAGGGAAGAAAGTCTGAATTCAGAGAGAACTTCATGTGACCATGAAAACAGAGATTGGAGTGATACTGCCACTAGCCAAGGAGCCAAGGGATGCTGGTAGCTTCTAGATGCTGCATGGGGCAAAATGGGTTTTCCCCTGGAGCTTCTAGGAGCAACCAGCCCTGCTGACATCCTGACTTTAAAACAACAAGATTAATTTGGGACTTCTGATCTCCAGAACTGTAAGATAATCAATTTGGGTTTTCCTAAGCCACTAAGACTGTGGTAGCGCATTACAGCAGCAACAGAAAATGAATAGACATGGTTTCAACCCCGGGTATAGGAATTCAATCAAACTGGCCGCAGCCACCAGCAAACCACAACCAAATCCAGCCTGTCATCTTTTCTCCTAGGGCTTGCAAGCCCAAAGTGATTTTCTATATTTTTAAATGGTTGCAAAAATTAAAAGAAGAATATTTTATAATATTTCATGTGTGAGGGTAATGTGAGGATAATATGAAATTCAGATTTTCAACATCCCTGAATAAAGTTTCACTGGGACACAGCCATGCTATTTCTTTTTTTTTTTTTAAAAGATTTTATTTATTTATTTGACACAGAGAGAGAGATCACAAGTAGGCAGAGCAGCAGGCAGAGAGCGGGGTGGGGCAGGGAACAGGCTCCCCGCTGAGCAGAGAGCCCGATGCGGGGCTCCATCCCAGGACTCTGAGACCATGACCTGAGCCGAAGGCAGAGGCCCAACCCGCTGAGCCACCCAGGCGCCCCAGCCATGCTATATCTTTTCTAAGATTTTATTTGACAGAGATATCGAGAGAGGGAACACGAGTGGTGGGAGCTGGAGAGGGAAAAGCAGGCTCCCTGCTGATTAGGGAGTCCCATGCGGGACTCGATCCCACGATCTGGGGATCATGACCTGAGCTGAAGGCAGAAGCTTATCAACCGAGTCACCCAGGTGCCTGCAGCCATGTTATTTCAAACATGTATTGTCTATGGCTGCTATTGTGCTCCCGGAGCAGAGTTGAGGAGCTGTGACAGAGACTGTATGTGGCGTCATGATGCGGTTATAACTCGACAGCATGTTGAATGCCACGTGTATCACCAGATTATGGCATTTCAGGTTTTTTTTTTTTAATTACACGTGCATACCCATGGTGTCAGAAAAAGAAAACAAAAAGGGTTTCTAATGTCATGCTTTTAAGGCACAGTGGAATGTAGATTACCTGGTTATCACAT